TTGAAACTATCAATTGCATGGTAAACCGTAATTTCATACCATAATATACCATAATATACCATGGTACTATCCAAGATAAAATTATTAAAACGTTTGTAATAACGATGTTTATATAAAGCAAATTATCGACACAATCTATAGAGTGAAAAGGTTCGATCTTTTTATACATCGATCATCGTTATTTTTTATTTTTTTACATTTTCAATTTTATATTAAAAATTATCGTTCCTATTAAAAGAACAAAAAAAAAAAAAAAAAAAAAAAAAAAAAAAAAAAAACTTGATTTTTTCTTTTATTTTTTATTTTGGTCCTTCGAGTCGGATAAGTGGAAGTCAGTGCATTCATTCAGTATTATTCAGACGACAGGACAAACTACACTTGGATCGCTACATTCTCTGATCACATATCGTCGCACCACTGCTGTTTCTTATCACAAGGACACACATTAATTATCTCACAGCTCATCAACAAATTTCCTCACCTAACGTAATAATTGCCTGTTGTTGTTTCTTCTCTTAAACCACATCATCAATAAGAAAATGCCGAACCGCGAGAGGAAGGTAAGAAAGGAAAGTACAAATCCTGAAGTGCTTATTACACAAGAAGGGGAAGTGAGCATAACCCGCAGCAGCGTCGCTAAAGAGCGATTACCCCCACTGAACAAATGTTGAAAGCTCAAGGCCAGTGGCATCACATTTTAGCAATAAAGGAGCTAGCTGACAAGCTCCCGTTATCTCATTTAGACACATCCATTGAAGAAGTCTTAGGTGCGAAAGAACAAGTTGAAAACTTACACAAGGCTTTTCAAAAGGAGCATCAGTATCTTGAAATGATATGACCAAGTGCGACATAAAAATCATGAATACTTCGCGAAAAACGCGCTAGGGGAAGAACTCAATCATTGCTCGAAACTAAAATCAATTATCAACAAGCCACGTCGCAATGTAAATGAGTCACCAAGAACAACAAAACCTTTTGAAGACTCATTACCCACGACAGAGCAGTCAAGGGAATTAAGAAATCCTTAACTTTCAGATATTCCACTTCCCAAATTCTCAGGCGATTATTTAGCATTGAGCACGTTCCGAGACCCATTTGAATGAATAATCCTGATAGGCAATAAGCTGAGTGCTGAGGTACAAAAACTGCATTACCTCCTTGCATCACTAGTAGACTCGGCAGCAAAGGTCATTTCGGTGTTTTCATTACAAAATGGCTCTCTCGCACTGGCATGGGAAACACTAATAGTGCGATATGAGAATAAACGGCTGTCAATCAAATCTCATCTCGAACAACTCTTCTCCAATTCAATCAAAATTAAGGATAAAGCGGCAAAAGATGTAATGCCACACTTTGTGGCTGTATGCACAAAGTTCAACGAACTGTTAAATTCGGAAAGAAGGGACCTCGCGACGAAACTCCAACTGTGTTTCCATTGCTTGGGGCCTCACTCCATTAACGCTTGTAGGAGCAATTAATTACAAGCGCCAGAAATGCAAAAGGTTCGTTGCATCACACACTACTGCATGACGAACGATTGTCAAGATCCCAAGTCAAGCAAGCGGCAATTCATCAACACCCTCCAACTGAATTCAAGCGCTAACCCTTCCACTTATCCCCACTTTTTTCCCACCAATAAACTGATGGACATTGTCTATTTCTAAACATTTTAAAGTACATTTAAAAAAAAAAAAAAAAACTTTTTTCCCCCTTTTTAATACCACGACAGTTCTAAATTGTATTTTAGTTTGAAATCACGAAAAAGTAGCGACTGTATGTACTTTTGATGACGACAAGACGATTTTTGGTTGCCTGATCCATGAAGTATCGGTTTCGATAATACGTCCAACAATTTTCGTTTACTTTTTTCGCTTTATTGTCACGAATGTCGCCACTGGTCTTGCCCTGACAATTAATCAAAATTTTTTTTTTTTTTTTTTTTTTTTTTTTTTTTTTTTTATATAATTACATTTACAATGTACAAATCCAACTACTTTTTACTCGTTAAAAAAAAAAAAAAAAAAAAAAAAAAAAAAAAAAACTACTAGAGATATGAGGTACAAGTATACGATACAAAAGTTTTTTGAAATATATATGATGAGAGAAATGAATATCTCTTGAAAAGAAATATTTTTGTTTCACTGTTATTTCTGGCAGTATTTTTTTCATTTATTGCAGTTTTTCAAATAGATATCACATTTTCATTCAAATTACACATACAGAAGATGTTTATTATAAACAAAATAATACCGAACAATGACTTTGATAACAATATTAATTTTAATATTTCGTAATAATATGATTTCTGTCATACTTTGGCCGATGATTAAAACAAAAATTACCATCTTACGAAACGTCTCATTCACGTACTTGAAAAACAACATTGTGCAGGTAAAACCTTTTTCTTTCTTTACCTTTAATACAGAATGCGTTATAGGTCACATTTATTAAATGTTATCGGATTAAATATAATTCGTTAGCGGAAGATTACGGAACATGAAAAAATATTGTGAATTCTTACAATGTGAAGCGATATAGCCGCAATATTAATAATAAATAAGTCCTTGGTGTTGACATTGAAAGGCATTTCAATTTTAAAAATCAGCCAAAAATAATTTAAAGCTCGCGACGAGATAAGAGCAAAAAAAAAAAAGAAAAAAGAAAAAAGAAAAAAGCACTAAAAACAAAAACGTCGAACCGAATCGGTAATATAATCCAAGTCGATAGTGTAAAGTTCTCGCAGGCGTGCAGCCGACCTTATTCGTAAAAAAGACCTTCCTCCTCGTGGTCGATCCTGCACAGAGAGGATCCGTGCGAATCTCGATAGGGCACGACTAGGACGACTACGGCGACGTCCGTCCGCTCTGTAAATATGCAAATCGCCCAAGAGAGTGCAATTGCGTGGAGAGCCGCCCGCCGTGGCGCTTATGCAAATTTATGCTAAGGGCTGGACATCGAGAGGATGAATCGTCCCTCTTCGCCACACCTGACTCGTAAAAACGATTTTAAAAGAGCCGAGAGCGAGGAAGGGTTGGTGGGGGGGGGGGAAGAGGATGGCACGAGGATCTCGGCACGCAGAGCGACAAAAGTTTTAAAAGGAAAATGTGCCTTTCGAGTTTTCTATCTTTTTTACGGCAAATCTCGAAGCTCGTTTAGTTTTGTTTTGCTTAGGCGTCGAACAGCATAACAGAACTTAGTTAAATAACATGGTGAATGCGCATTTGCATTTAAGAGAAATGAAGATCAATGTACTCTTTTGTAAGTGGTATTCGTTTTAAATATTTTTAACGCTACTGCGTATACAATGTACGTGGAATTATTTGTGACTTTTATATTTCTGCAATAGATAACATCTTTAATTAATTTACCTCGATAGAATTTGTGCTATACAGTATCGCTAGAAAAAAAAAAAAAAAATTATTATTTAGATCGACCTATAAAATTGTAAAAGCTAATAGTAATGTTTCGCGTAGATAGTCGATATCCTACTTTTTTTCTTTTCTTTTCTTTTCGTTTCTTTTTTCAATAAATTGATAGATCACACCGAAGTCGTACGTTATTAAAAAAATACAAAAAAAAAACACACACACACACACACAAAACAATAAAATAAATAATAAAAAAAAAAATAAAAAAAAAAAATAAAAGAAAAATAATTAAAAAGAACAATTACAAAACCGCATTTATTTACATAATCGAATATTTAAGAAATAAAAAAAGTTGTCGAGTCTTATTTTTACAGTCAGTAATCGTTTTGATTTCATTTATCGTTCACTTGAAAAAAATTGTTTTAGTCACGATCAAAGGAGCAGATGTAAATCTATCCATTGTCACATTGAATTAGACATGTATTGCCATTACATGTCGTGTGCTTTTAAAATTAATTATTTTGTAAAGGCTAAAAAAATTTTTATATTATCTCTAAAAATACGTTTTACATGGTTCGGTCATTACTTTACAACAGGATCATTCGTCATAAATTACTCTATTTTCTTTTTCTTTCGACATTTCCGATTCTTTCCCATCCTTCTTTCTTTCGTTCTTTCTTTTCTGTTTAATAATAAATTACTCGAAATATACATTTATACGTACAAAGCAACTCTAAAATCCATTCGGAACTTAAAAGTCAAAATAAAACATTAAAAGTCTGGCTCAAACGTTAAATGCGAATGTAACCGACAAAATAATTAAATTTAATAATAAAAAAAGGAAAGCAAACTTGCGCGTTCGCTTCGAAGCACGAGGATATATATTTACATCTGAAGGGCAAGGTGGGTGGTGGGAGGGGAAGGGGGGAGGGCGGGGGGGGGGAAAAAAAAAAAAGAAAAAAAAAAGAATAATAAATAATGTTCCAGACGTCATACTACATGCAAGGAGAGAAAGGTGGAAACTTTCGCTGCGCATTGTGCGCCTCGACTGCGGCGGGAAATTCAAACTGAGCGTCGGCGCATCGTCAGAAGGCGAGTAAGTTGATTTCATACGTCGGAAAAGTCGAAGCGCCGCGTCTTCTCCTACTTGCGCTATAAAGTTTCCCGTTTCACCCTGACTTTGTCCCCTGGATGCTCTTGCGTCGCGCGTTCCGCTTCTTTCCTCATAAGGGGAAGCGCAAAATCAACATCTATCTGTGTTAGTGCGCATTGGCCAGTGCCCGACAGTCAAAGACATATATTTTTGGGCTTATTTGTGAAAATCGCTACTTTTCGGATACTCGAATCTCGTTGAATTTGCGTAGATACGCTTATCTTGGTGAATTACGATGCACTTTGTGCGCCTACTTTCACTCAATCTCCCACGGAACTCCAGTAAGCTGTACGAATAAATGGTATTAATAAAGCCATTCCATAGAATAAACAAACAAACAAACAACAAACTAATAATAATAAACCAATTATCGATAGTATAAAATACATTTTCATGCACATTTCTTTCTTTCTTTTTTCTTTATTTTTTTTGTTTTTTTTTTGTTTTTTTTTTTGTTTTTTGATTTTTTGTTTGTTTAGCTGGGACTTTAAAGTATTTCTCATAAATGATGAACAGTGAGATGAGGAATGAGCGCGTTAAAGCGAATAATGCATTTATAATTCACCAAAGTAAATTTCGCTTGGGTGCTTATAAAGATTGAGATCGTAAAATGCAGCTTTCATTCGGTTAAATTCAATTTGAGAAACTTCGAACTCCGGTTTAAGAGCAAAATTTTTAACGTTAACGCGATAAAAAAAAATCCGTGTGCTCGCATACGTTAAGGCGCTTACATCGAAAACGTCAGAATTTCGCGAAATTCGAGCATCTTCCGTCCCCGCACATAATAACAATAATAATTATTATTATTCTTATGATTCTTATCATTGTTTTTGTTTTCGTTTAAGCGCAACGTTAAAGAAAAAGCTTGGTCACTCAAGTGCGAATTATAACAATTCGCGAGCGGTCTCGATCGATTTGACCATAAAAATCAAATCTCTCCGACAATCGTAAATCAAGTGGCGCGTGTATGTGTACAAATCTTGTTCGACTTCGTGAAAGCGTCGTGAAAGGAAGTTTGACGAAAAAGACATCGCATTGCACGCTCGCAAGACACGCCGCTCTCTTGCTCCGTCTTTCACGTTCCTCCTCCCTCTCCTTCTCATCCTTACACGAGGCAATACATATTTAAAAGCAGCCACCACACGGGGTGCTTTTGTAAGTGCCTCCTCCCCTCCGATTCTCGACAGCAAACCGACGGTCACGCCATGGCCGAACGCTCGCGAGTCGCAAAGGCGATCGGCCGGTTTGCGTCCGAGTCGGCGGCCCGGCTTAGCAGATGGTCTCGAGGGGCGCCGTCTTGGTGCTTGGATTCTGGGTGACGCTGTCGCCCATACTGGGCATCCCGTGGCTGGTCGTGCTGAGGCCATTGCCCTGTCTGTTGGCGTTGGCGCGCGGATTCCTCGACCAGAGCCGCTTGAGGGCGGCGCGCACCTGCGGCTGACAGCCCACGACGATGAAGATAAGGACGCCCTGGGCGGCGTTGCAGAGATCGGTCACGTACCAGAGAAAGTCCGGTCCACCTGCTAGCCACGAAATCACGTCGAAGATCCAGGGCACGCCCATCACGACCACCAGCTTGAGGCAGACTTTGCCGAGTGCGGCTCTGCAACCGAACGAACAGACACGAGATTCGGAATTAGTGCGTTTTATGGCTCTTATGCAAATGCCTGGCAATACGTAATGTCACGGTCGGGGATGAGGAAGGGGGATCGACGAGTGGAGGCACACGTCACTGTGTGGGCGCGTGCGTGGGGGATGGCGATGTGGTTGGGAGGGGAGGGGGGGAGGAGGAGGAATATCCGACAGTATCCGCAATTATTCTGCAAATATATTTTTTACAGTGGCTTATTTGGTGCACCGTAGCTCCGGGACGCTCATTTATACATGTCTCCATAAATTTTTATTATACATTTATATGGCATTATAGACTTTATTATGGCTTTTATTATACAGGGGGATTTGTAACGATCATCTCTCGAATTGCTTCAAGAGTCGCTCGCTACGATGGAGCATTGTTTAATTGATACGCGTAGTGGCATTATTATTGTTATTATTGTTGACAATGTGCCGTTGATTGCTCTGATGCTTTGGGCGCGCAATGCCGTAGATACTTAAATAAATTCAATTAACGCTACAATGCATTCAACGTTAATTGGAATTTAGTTAAAATGCATCTTTCGTGGCTTTTTCCAGTCCCCGTTGCTCTCCCTTATCAATATCTCATTAATTAAATCACTGCTTATGCAAAAATGATACGATACTAACGATTGGCAATATATATATATATATATATATATATATATATTAATATTTGGGGCAATAAAAAAAAATTTGTGTACACATCGAAGTAATTATATATCTTACCATTAAATACAATGATGATAGATTATTGTCTTTTAACTTTTTAAGTAAAATGCCCATTGAATAAATTTGCTTATAAATATAATTGAATGTATTGGTTACATGCTTGTATCGGTTATTAGTTTTTTTTCTTCTTTTTTTTTTAACGAAGCGTCGCAGATAAATAAAAGGGCATAGAGAAGACGTAATCGGGGAGATTTGCTATCGCTTAATATAACTGCTAATAATAGTCTTAATATTTCAAGTTTACTATTGCGTTCGTTCGGCTTATATTCGAGTTTGAGCACGAGCGCACTTGGCAGTTTGGAATTGCATTGCAAGCAGGACAGAGACATCAAAAACGAATATTACCTATTATATTATTCATCGAGTTTTAATTTTGAATTTCCGATAATATGTACCTAAAAGTTTAAGAAATTTATTTTCCAAATCGAATGTAAAATTTTGTATTATTTCAACCCGATAAAATTTCATGTAATGGTAAGTATTCGTCTATAGTGAAATCATTAGTAGGAAGGTCGATATTACGATTAAGTTTTCCCTGCCATTTTATAGATATTAAAGCTTATACCAATGTGTCATTACTGAATTAGACGTTTCTTACTCTATTCGAGCGGACAATTGTATCCGACCGATACATTACAAAAAGAAAATATTATGCGTTAGTTCACTTGTACGGCGTATTGATTAATTTTCATCCGAAATTTAAACAAAATATTTCACGTATATCGATTATTCTGTCTCTCTCTCTCTCTCTCTCTCTCTCTCTCTCTCTCTGTTGTTAAATACAATTGCGATTATTATTATTATTATTATTATTATTATTATTATTATTATTATTATACTAAATAAATAAAGAAAGAAATAAATAATTAAATAATTAATTATATAAACAGTATAGGAATAATAATATGTATGTAGGTGAGTAAAAGAAATATTTCAACTCTTTTATAAATCTTAAATTTTATTTGCAGTACGCAAATCTATTTGAGCATTTTGTTCTTTTTCTTCATTATGGAAGAGCATTGATCCAATAGAATTTGCCTAAAAGGTACATAAAGGAAAAATAAAAGAGGCAATGCTTTTGGAATCGTGTCTTTTAATTAAATACGCAAGCAGATGGCGCTCGATATTAAATGTCGTGGGACAAAGAGGAAAAGAGTGGCTGTAAAATGCTGGTAACGGTTGTGCATGAGCCGTGGGAAAAAGAGACGTGAAATTTTTGAAAATTCAACCTTACTATACAAACAACCAGCTGATTATATTTTGAAGAAACTCTCTTCGTTTTCAGTTGGCTGGAATTCTCTGAATTGTCTATTCAACCGGTGATTTAGGCGCCAGATAATAATTTATCGAATTAATATACTACGTGGGAAATATTTGTTCAATATATATTATGAAATGTGCAGTTATTTTGCCAATGTAATGGAGCAAATACTGCTCTAGGATTAAGCGAATTACGTAACACTAACGTATAATTTTTAAGTATACGTAATTTTTTCCCGTCTAATCGTTATTCCCCATACTTAAGAAGAAAAAAAAACACGAACACGTTTTTCCAGAATTTCGTGTGTGATTGAAGCCATTAAAAACTCTCGGCAATTCATTTACGTAATTACACACGAACGGCTACGAATTGCCAATTAATTCACTTCCACCACTAATGCTTATAATCGTAATTCCAGACTTATTGTAATAATACCCAATATGGCGCTATTTAGGCTGTCAGTATATTGCAATCCAATCGAGCGATGATAATTTACAATATATTCAATATTAATGACAAAGGATCGTTTACGGAGGAGTACATTAGTGACAGTTACGATAACACTATGTAAGCGGCATAGGGTAGGACATAAGCTCCGTAATAATTATTGTCCAAGGGAAACTGAACAATGTAAGCCAAGGGATAATCAGTAAAATCGCGAGGGAAAATAAAGACAAGAGGCATGGTTGGTACGCCTGTTATATGCTGGGAAAAGCGTGGGGTACGGACCGCGCACCCCCTCCTCCACGTGGCACATCTTATCATCCTGTTGAATGGGCACGTCCGAGCCCCTACCGTCAACGAATTTCTAATTTTCAGTTCATTAGGAGGAAGGGCGTGATGAAGTGGTAGTGATCGTGGTAGTGTCATCGCTGGTGACGAAATCCTAGCTTGGGACCATTAGGGGCCAGTGTTTCCAGCCGCGACCGATACCCCGTGTGTCCCGGAAAGACGATACTCGCTCTGTAGGGGCTACGAAGTGTGTGCTAAATGTTTGAAGAGAGAGAGAGAGAGAGAGAGAGAGAGCCGTCGTACCTAAACTCGAGCCTTGGTATAAATTGCGAATTAAGGCAGCCGTCGTTGCCAGTACTCGGGGACAAGTCCCGAGGCCATAAAAGTCCCCAAGCCAGAGGTGGTGGTCTTGCGACTTTCGAGTGTACTCGCATAATCGGAGCGATTGATTTGGAAAAGCCGCTACTGCTGGGCGGAGGCGAAAAGGACGACAAGCGAGACCGAGGTTATTAATGCATTTATAACGCGAGCATTGTTGATATTTGCGTGGTATTAGTCACGTTGTCGGGTTGTTCAAAGGTAGGACATGAAAGTTTTACGCCCTCCGCGATGGCGTGCAAATTACTACCTTCATATCTTCTTTTTCGGGATGCGATTCCTCGCTTTCCCTTCCGATTCGTATTATCGAAATCATAAACAATGCTGGCGACTAATCGATGCGCGCGACATTGACTTTATCGACGATCGTTGACTACGGGCGAGGAATGCGCGCGGAAGGAGGTGCGGAGGTAAGGTCTAAGAAGGGAAGTTAGTTGTTTTTTCGCTGGGACGAAAGTAGTTATTTAAAGTAGAAAATAATCATTGGGAAACCAAGGATCATCCATTAAGATTTATAAAAAAATTGTTATTATAATTTTCATGATCGTCTCTGCAGACGGATAATTAGATTGGCGTATAATAATTTTTCAATTCTTCCCCTCCCCCCTCCAAGCCCCGTCCCTTGTCCCTATTGTATTTTAACACACGGTATCTCGGCATTATTAATCACGTACAGGCCTAAGCACACAAGGGGAATGGAGCACACGCGCTTGAATTCTAATTTACAATATAAAGGGAAAAAAGGTTTGTGGAAAGAATTTATGATTATAAAAAATATAGT